ATGAAATGAATGGAGCACACACGAGCACAGTCGAGCCGAGCGTTCAAAACGAGCATTCGATGCGCCTCACCAGTTGTGGTGTAATGTAACATGCTCGCCGCGAATGTTACATTACAAGTAAATGTTACAAGTCAGTCGCCACCTTTAGAGAAGTATTAGTATTAGTGAAGTAGTATTAGACAAGTACAAGAATTTGCACTACCCAGTGTTGTTGGGTTGGCTCGTAATGCAGCTCCTGAAATCAATACTCTAAAACTATACACCACTGAATTTGTGGTCACATTCTTAGTGGAAAACTTTAATGTGTACAGACATCAGTATCACATTCTACAAGCAACTAGCAGCCTGACACCGCAGGTTCTGCAGGCAAACAGATTAAATTTTCCAATGCGCTGATTCTTTAAATGGGACACAAGAAAAGAATTTCAATGATGAGCATGACAAACGATACTAGACTTCTTTCTAGTCTAAATTAATTATTCAAAACCTACTTTTTCTTATTCACCATTTTGCTACCCCTTCCCCCACATAGAGAAGCAGAAATAGTAGCATAATGTTGTACATGGATAATTATGGAACTTCATATCCCCTGCCCTATTTCCTACGACAGAAAAATTGCTCACTGTGACAATGTTTGGTATAACAGAAGAAATGCCCAAAAATGTTGGCCCCAGGGTCCTGAAAATGAAGAAACGGGATATGGCAAGCAGCGATCATAGCAATATCATAGCTCTGTGCTGGAAATACAAAACAGGTAGGTATACCACACCCACTGCGGCAAAGGGGAGTCTTTTGTATGAATCGTGGAATGTTCTGAAGCCCCAAGTAGTGAAAATTAAATCACACACAACCTATGCTGATACCAAGTGACAGGATGAATAAAAGTTTCGGTATAAATCAGAGAACTTGAAGTGAACAAAAATCTCTTTCTTTCATCATGATTTACTTTCTAATACAGAAGGTTTATAGCGTAAAATGGCCCGCCTACAATTCAAAGAAAAATTTCTTTGTGAACTTGTCCTTGCAGCGGAAGACATAACTGTAAATGGAAAGTGAATATAACGAGGATGACCAAGCCTAAAATAATCCCAATTGTCCTCTCTGAAGATAAAACACTAAGCACAAAGCAATGAGTGTTTATTATTTTGAAGCCAATGGAGTTGAACTGTGCATTTCTGTGTGTTGGAAACTGCACACAAAAATTTCCAAGTTTTGAAGTAAATTCTTCTGAACAATATGTAATTTATTTCATGTTGTATGTGGGTTTAAAAGGAGGATATATTGTTTTATCAAAACACAGGTACTGAATAGAGTAACTGTGAGATTTAACTTTGGGCCAACATGGGATGTGGGGGATTTAAACACATGGTACTTTAAAGCGTATGTCGCTAACTACGGACAGTCTAAGATGGTTCGATCTCTAGGGCACCCTACAGCTACAGGTTATGCAGGTGGGCCAACAACACAGATCCTCAAAATTATGAGACGGGAGGATCACCTGTGATGACATCATCACCAAATGTGAAATCATCATCTGACATTCTTCTGTATGCATATACAGCAGATTCTGGTTAGTTAGGACACATTGGGACCAGAATACTTTGGCCCAATTATGCAAAGTTCCATGTAAAGAGTTAAAAAGGTTTGTTCTTTAAGAAAACCTCAAATCTCATCTGAACTGTGCTGTCATCTATCAGTAACCACATAAATTACTTCGTATCACAATCATGCAAGTGGCGTAAAGAACACTGATGAAGCTTTTGTGTACTCTACAGAGTACATTTTTCCAATCTTGTTATTATAACCGCTTATAAAATCTTCTAATGTACTAATGGACATCAGCAACAGACAAAGGTCTTATGTGAATAATAATTGAAATAAATTATTAGAATAAACAGAATTAGGATATCAGCGGTGCCTGACCACTCTCGACACTATTCCTTATCTCGCAACTGAGTCCCAGGAGCGTAAACATTTGCATGGGAAAAGATTAAGGATCAATCAGACTCACAAATTACTTTTACTGCCAAAACGTAGTGTACTTGGTTTATACCGCTAAGTATACACATGCACTTGCACACATTCATAATAAATGAAATATGGATAAATGAACTTTACGGCCATATCCAAAGAACATAAGTTTATAAGTTTATACTGTTAAAAATTTGAGCATCACACCAAATATCCAGTAAGAATGCAAATGGTGAAATTAATATCTGAAAGAGGGAGGGGATTCTGACTGAGAAGAACCATGCATCAATGCTTGGGAAAGGAGGACATGAAAGGGTTACTTTGATTCTGAAGCATGAATAATTTCAAGTCCTTTAGAGCATAAATATCAAGTATGTATAGGACAAAATTAAGAGCAAAATAAATTCAGGCATTTCATTATACAGTTTTGTAATTCAGAAAATTACTTTCTCATGATGTAAAAAGAGAGAGAGAGAGAGAGAGAGAGAGAGAGAGAGGGGGGGTCTTTATAATTTACACAAAACACAAGTGTATCTATTTTTGTGTATTGGCGTGAAAACTTTCTCTGACTGAGGGTAGTATAAGCATTTTAAAATGGTACACTGAGGAGAAATACAATGGATTCAAAACTGATTAAACAATATAAAAACTACAGAAAATTACACACTGAGTTACATAATTTGTATTTCCCACATGATTGTTTAAATAAAGAAGACTGAATAAAAGGGACGAGACGCAAAAGACATGAACATAGAAACTTAAAGGAATTTTACTGTGTTCTGAGGAGAGAACAGTATATTTATGTGACCGCAGAAAACAATCTAAAGCACTCTTATATTAAAGATATGTAAATAGTGCTTTCGTTACAACCAAAAAATATTTCTATATTTTCCATCATTACACTGACCACATATAAAAGCTACTCATGGACTTCTCATTATAGGCTGTACTTGTCACATCAGAATTTTCTTGGATCAGAATATTTATGCCATTTTTTTGTTTATGTGGGTATTTAGCAAGATAAATAGAAATGTTTATTTCAGACCTTTTCCAGAGCAGTAGTCATGATTAGCCATTAAGCGGTAAGGAAATTAGTTTAATAAAAATTTCACAAACATTCATATACTCAAAGTATTGCTGATACTATGTCAAGATGGATAGTTGATCTGACACATAAGATTTTATTTTACTTACAGGACTAAAATTTAATTAAGTATTTAAAGAATCATAATTCTAATATATCTGAGAGGTACTCACTCCAGTGAAGTGGTGACATCAAACCGTTCCACAAATTCCAAATGTAACTTCTCGCCTGCAGGAGCCATTATGATCCATTCACACTCGGTGTGTGGTGGTGGGGCGCTTGGGAAGTGCGGTGACATAATCACAACTGAGCTGTTTTGTGCAGAGAGTACCGTGTGACCTCCACAAGCCACTGACACTTCTCGGTAAACCAACTTGAAGATCTGAAAATATTAAACCTCCTATGTGCTTTCTTTCATTCACTCAGAGTAGTAGAACTTACTGCACGTATAATTTACAACTCCTAAAATGATGGAGCAAATGCTTGAAAAAATATAATTTTAGAGGCATAACTTATTTTTCAATATTTTATGTAAAAAATAACTCATTTGCACAAGTATTCTCCCAATCTTCATATAATTACCATTATTCTTGAGTAACCACATGACTGTACATTTCTAAAATAACTAAATTCACTTTTGATATATAGTCAAGTCAATCATCAGTTTATTTGCACTGGGGGCAAAGCATCCACAAAACAGAAAATATATTACAGAACCCTAATAACATGTGTGAATGTATCAGAATAGTTGTTTCATAGCATTTTATCAACTTGCACATACCAATAACTTGTTTCTTGTTATACTAACCCATTTAATGCATATTATTTTCTCACCACTTTCCTGAAATAATGCATTTTTAAGGTGAACATATAAAAAACTTTCAAATTTGTTCTTCCTAAATGCACTGTGACAACATTTTTGTACAATTTCAAATGCTTCAAACTAGGTGGTACCACTGCGTACACCAACAAAAATGCGTTCACAAAGTCCGGTAAATGAAATCAAATGACTCAGTAATAGGAGATTATTTATTTATAAAGAAGTCAAATGTCGCACTATATGGTACCGGACGCTTGTCTGACTTTAATCTAACACTGTAGCAATAGGGTTGGACAATTTATAAATTAACTTACAGCTGCTGCTGATAAGCCAACAAATGTAACACTTAGTTCATTTCCTGTAGTTTCAGGAATATTTGTTGGAGCTTCTGTACCACAGTATCTGCCCTGTCCCAACATCGGAGAGGCCCGGGATCTTCCATTCCTCAGCTGTAAACACAAATTAACTGTACAGGCTTACTAGTTTCTGGAACGGGACGTTCTGTGTCTTATTTGTACATTTAAATGGGCTGCAAGGTAAATTATTTTCTAGGAGGGAAATGATCTAGCTTGTGACACAGGAGAAGGA